GGGACGGGGCAGAGGGGCGGGGTGCCACACTCAGCGCCGCGTGCCCTGCAGCGCGTTCTGGATCCATCTTCATGACAGCCCACAGTGGCACTGTGTGCCCACCTCACACTCTGAAGACCGAGGTCCGGACCGGCTAAGGGGCCCGTCCAGTGTGGGGGCTGGGATCCCCGCTTCCAAGGTGCTCTGGGGAGAGTCAAGCTGAGTCCCGTACCCTGGTGCTCAGGGGACAAAAGAATTACCAGGGGACATTCCTGTGGTCCTCACTGCTGGGTCAGGCTCCCAAGGGAAGGGCCGGCATACAGCAGGTGCTGGGCCATGCTGCCCGAGGCTCGTGGGGCTCCTGGCACCTCCTCACGGTGAGCAGAGGGTGCCTCCCTGTCCCCACGGCCCTGCCCTGGGGAAGAGGCCAGCGCTGCCCCGTGTTCGGCGGGGCCGCCTGTCCCGCCCGGGCCCTGCAGGGGGCAGACTCATGCCAGAGAGCAGGTCAGTGTCTCTGACCGCCTGCGGGCCCTAGGATGGAGGGGTGGGGCCTTGATCTGGTCCTGCCTGGGCCCAGGGCGACAGGAGGGCCTGGCGATCTCCAGCCCGGGGTGCTAAGGGGATGGGTTGTTCCTCTGTTCTGGGTGGCGGCTGGAAGGATCCACAAAGACCCAGAGCAGGCGGTGGGGTGCTTCCGCCTTTGCGGGCCCTGTGTCCCGCCCAGGGCAGCCAGGACCCGGAAGCAGAGGCACAGCAGGGCTGTGGTGGAGTGGGAGGAGGTGTGGGTCCTGCGCCCCGTGTCACTGTGGAGCCCTGCCTTCCTCCCTACCTGGGGCCAGTGTCATTTTGAATGGCTCCTGGGGCTGTTGGTGGCTAGTGCGGCACCGCACATGTGGGCCACACCCCTGCCAGCGGCGCCTGGGAGCCCTGGGGGGCTGGGCACCTTCTCCCTGTCCCCACCGAGTGGGAAGAGACCGGTGGGCGAGGCTGCTGTTGGGGGTGGGCACTGGGGGAGCTGGCAAGGGTCCGGCTGCCCTCTCTGGCCTGTTTTTATGAGCACGCATAATAAAACGCTGTGGTATCTTTCATCCAAACACCCAGGGCCGCTTGAAAGCAAACCCATGGCATGCGGCCCGGCCTCAGACGCGCTGCTGTGGGAAGGAGGTCAGGCCCACCGCACCCTGCGCCCTGCCAGCACGGACCACAGAATCCTGTCAAACAGACGTTCGGGGAGTTGGCTGTATGGTTCAGTTAAGTGACGCTCGATTCAAGGGGACACGGGACACTGAGGTACCAGTTCCCAGGGGCCTGAGCGTGCGTCTCCCACACGTCACAGGCTCTCCGCCTGCACCGGAGAAGAAGGGCGTGCTGGGGTTCTTCATGGATGGGGAGCTGGGACCGGCTCCGAGGGGAGGCCCTGGACTCCTGCAGATGGAAGCTGCGGCCTCCAGTGCGGCCCGGGAGGAGGAGCGGCCCACAGGTGAGCGTGGCCACCAGGCACTGCGGAGGTACAGTTTCCCATGGCACAGGGTGGCTTTCTGGGCGCCCACCAGGGCAACAGCTGCTTGGAGAAGACTCAAAGCCCCGGGCAACGGCCAAAGCCTCCCCAGAGGGAAAAGGAAATGATTTTGCCGTCGAGGAGAGGTATGATTTCCGGAGCAATTCCGCACGAGGGTGAGTGGGTGTTTCCAGGCCCGCTCAGGGCAAGGCCGATCCCGTGGGCAAGGCGACCGAAGGGCAGCGTTCAGGAGCATTTTGGGAGGAGCCGCGGCTCAGGGCCTCGGCTGCCCCTCACCAGCTGTCCCAGAAGCCCTGTGCAGGGGCCTCCTCATTTCCCAGCGTGTGTTCAAGACGGTCCTGGGCCCCGGAGGCCTGGGGTTGCTGGGGAGGGGAGGCAGAAGTTTGGGCTGTGGAGAGCCGGAAGGGCACAGACGGAGACTTGCTAAGTCCTGCCCAGAAGGTCGGAGTTGCTGTGCCGGGAGCAGCTGCAGCAGGGTGGGGTGTCCCTAAGGTGGTGGGACCCGAGCGAGGACAGCCCAGCCGCAAGAGCTGCTCACCCGGCCTGGAAAGGCAGACATGGCTGCTGCTGAGACCAGGGTGGAAGGGAACCGAAAGGCACAATTTGTCAAGGGAAGCGGCATGGATCGGTCCCCAGTGCAGCTGGCCATGGTGATAGGCCACAATGGGGCCGCAAGGCCTCTTCACTGCAGGCTGCCCGACAGCACACAGGGTGCCCACTGAAAATAGCACCGGAGGTAGACAACCAATAACATTTTAGTATAAATATGTCTCAGATATTGCCTATATTTTTATTTGCTGAATCTGGCAACCTTATTCTTAGCAGGCCTGTGAATGGCCCTGAGCCTTCACCATCAGACGGAGACCTTGCCTGAGCAGACCCTTTGACGGTGCTGAATGGGTAGTTGGAGATGTCTTCACTGTAAGTCTTGTTCTCATGGCTTCCTCCAGCTCTGTGGACCTGCCGCTGCAGGTCTGCGCAGGAGTCTGACATGATGGATGTGGTTGCTTGACACGGATACGTGGCATCTGGCTGACACAAATACATTGTAACCGGGCAACATGGATGCATTCTAATTGAGTGAGACGGATACCTTGTAACTGAGCCAGGCTGGCAGTCCCAGGTGCTTTGCAGCTTGAACAGGTTATTTGTTGCACGGAAAAAGCACTTGCATGTGGGAAACGAGTCTCAGTTGTGGGTGCCCCAGTGTCCTGGGCGGGTCTGGGTGGGGTCTGAATAGCTTAGGACACAGACCAGCCCTTTTCAGGACTGTGTGTAGCCAGGGAAGAATGCAGAGGAAGCCTTAGCCAGCAGCTGCTGCAAGGGACACAGCCCCCGGCCCTGTGCAATGATCAGTGGCCCGCTGTGCCCACCGGCAGGCGGCCTGGCTGTCCGAGGGCTGCTGTGTGAGCTGCTCCTTCTGCTGCCTTTGGGGTCCCCTGGGGTGGCCGGCACATCTGAGCAAAGCTCGGAGAAGCAGGCAGAGGGAGACCTTGCTTGGGACACGTGCTCCTCCCAGGCCACGCCTATGCCTGGTTAGACAATGGAAAGATGCACAGGGTAGTGGTGGTGGGGGGGGTGGGTACTCAGGCTTGTTTTGGGTCTTTGTCCACCCTGAACCCTGGCTTTCTGACAGAAGCGGGCTGGAGGGCGGGGGCGTCTCCTGAACAAAGCAGCAGTATAGACGCGGTGGTTGATCTTGAACTTGAGATCAACCCAAGGTGGGTTGGGCAGAGCCAGGGTGCTCCTGTCTGGACAGCAGTGTCTCCTCTCTTCCCTCTCCCCGGATGGGCTCCTGGTGGGCAGAGGGCACCCTCTGAGCTCCGGGACTGGCACCTGAGCCTGCAGGTGGGGCAGGGGCTTTCGGGAGCCTAGAGACCGTCCTGGCCAAGGGGACCGGCAGCCTCTGGGCCCAGCCCTCGCGCCCTCTGAGCAGGTGTCTTTCCCGGGCGCCTTCCCGTTGGCCAGGCAGGCGGCTCGGGCTGCCTTCTCAGCAGTGTCCATCCTTGGAGTCCGTGAAACAAACTCCTGTCTGGCTGGCACAGTCCTGTGACCACGGCATGAGCTCTCCTCACCCGCGGGGAGACGAGGCTCAGAAGTGCCCGGGCCGGTGCCCGCTGCCCAACCTTGTGCCCTGTCAATTCCTTTTTCTGCAAAGCAGAGACTGCAGCTCAGGTGGCCGAGGATGCCCTTCAGCCTGGATGTGCTGGGAGCCCTTCTCAGTGCCCGCGACGCTCTGCACGACCCTGCTCAGACGCATGCCAGGAGTGGCCTCTGCTGTCGCTGCCCGCAGAGGGCAAGGCTGGGCCAGGGCACCCGCGCTGCTGTTCTCGGGCTGGGCAGTGAGGGGCCAAGGAGGACCCCGAGGACCATGGGCGCCTTGAAAGCCAAGAGAGCTCAGTTGTGTCGTGTGCCACAGGGGCTGGGGGTAGTGAACGGGAGGCAGCTGCTGGCGCGGGTCCTACCACGTCCGAGGCGGGTGGGGCCCCGCTCAGCATCCGGGGCCTTCGTTGTTCAAAAGGGAGCTCCGGGACCTGAGAGGGCGGGAGCTGGGAGCTGGGAGCTGGGAGCTGGGAGCTGGGAGCTGGGGTCGGGGCTGGGCGAGCAGTCCAGGCCTCCAGACCCACAGGCCGGGCACTTTTGGTTGAGGGGAGAAAGCACGATCTCAGCAGCATCCCCTTCTGAGATAAAACCTATGAACGGGCACCTTGGTTCACTCAACCCTGATCACCAGGTGTTCTCCAGGGCTGGGCTGCCAGGGAGGCCGCCTAGCGCTGTCCCCAGGGGTGAGCATAAGAGTCCTTGAGACTCTCTGTCTCTGTCTCTCTTTCTCCTGAAAATCAATGAAATTGAAAACCAATGGGCAATAGAGAAAAATCATAAAGCCAAAATACTGGCTAACTGAAAAGGTGAACAAGATTGTTAATCTCCTGAAAGAGAGAGAGAGAGAGGGAGAGAGACAGAGAGAGACAGAGAGAGACAGAGGCAGAGAGAGACAGAGACAGAGAGACAGAGACAGAGAGACAGAGAGAATCAGAAATGAGCTTATAGACATTTGAGGAATAAAAAGAAAATACTAGGAATAACATCATGCCAGTAAATCTGACAACTCTGAGGAAATAGACAATTTAAAAAATTTAACTTAACAAAATTTATACGAGAAGAAACATGACCTCTGAATAGATCTGTAGCAAACAAAACCACTGAGCTTGGGATCCAGAACCTCCCGGGATGACAAGCCCTTGCCCTGAGGTCTGGGTCTGTGTGACGCGGGTGGAGCTATGGCCCCCGTGGCCCCGCCTCCTCCCTTGACCGTCCCTGCTGCTGGGCAGGGGAAGCAGGGAAATTGTCCCCCTCCAGTCCCCTCCACACCTTCCTGAGGGATGTGACCGTGCAGCCTTCAGCAGCTAGGGCAGGGGTCCCGGGGAGCCCAGGCACCGTCTCTGACCACCCGCTCCGCTCTCGTTGCCTGGGGCCCTGGGTGGGATGCAGAGGAATTGGGGTCACATCCTCCCGCTCTCTGCGTGAGTCCAGTGCTTCTCATCTGGGGCATTTTTGCCACCTTCTCCTTTCCTGGGGACACTGGCAATTTCTTTTTTTTTTTTTTCTGTTTCAGTGTAACACAATTTTCTTTCTTAATTTTAATTTTTATTAGCACGTGTTTGCTGGACACGGGATTGCATTCCCTGTGCAGAGCTGTGCATGCCTGTAACACACTTCAGTTTTTAACACACGTCCCCACCCCTCCGTCTCTCGGTCCCCTTCCTCTTCTCCATGTTTGCAAAGGATCTGTCTCCTTGTTCACTTTCCTCTGTCTTGTATTTTGCTCTTCATTTATTTATTCTTTGCACCTCTCAGATGAGAGGAACCATGCGCTATTGAAGTCTGTGTGTCTGATCTGTTTCACTCACCATTTCTTTTTTCTTTTTTTTTGTACGGAGAATCGAACTCGGGACCTTGCTCTTGCCAGGCAGGTGCTTGTGCCGCTGAGCTACATCCCCGGCCCTCACTCACCATTATGGGCTCCAGGTGCACCCATTTCCCTACAAGCCGCTCACGTTTACCCTTCTTTCCAGCAGAGGAGGCTCCACTGTACATCGGACCTCAGTCTCCAGACAGTTTTGGTTGTCTTCACTGGAGCTCCTGGCATCGGGGCGGAGGGTCCGGGGGCTCAGCCAAGCAGCTCGGAGCTCACGGTGGCCCCAAGTGGTTCCCGGCCCTGGGTCGCTGTGGGGAGAAGCCAGGAAAGCGTGTGACGGGCAGCTGTGAGGAGGCGGGGTGCCGGGGGGCTGGCACCCTTGTCCCAGCCCAGGAGGGCAGCGTAGCCGACCTGGGGAAGCTCCGCCGGCTGTTGGGTTGCCTACTGCGCCCGGCCAGGCGTGGTCACCAGAGCCGGTTCTCCCTGAATAATCTGTGAGAGAAGCTTATAAAGTGTTTTAAGAGTTGGCAAATGACTGCTTCAGAAGCACATAAACGCTCCCCCGACGCCGGCCTCGCCCGCTGAGTCTGAGGGGATGTGGAAGCTGGTCCCGAGCCCGGGGAAGCCCGGACGCTGGGGGCTTTCATTCTCCGCCTCCTCTCCCTCTCTTGCACAACTGTCTGGCAGGAGCTGGCTCTGTTCTTTGCTTCCTCCTCTGTCCCGGGAGCCTGCTGTTGGCCACCGCTGCACCCTCAGCAGGGCCCGGGCGTCGGGGGTTCAGAAAGCAAAAGTCCCAAGGGAGCGGGAGCCGGGACCGAGGCTCAGGCTCCATCGTGGCGGGAGCTCCCGCGAGGCTGAGGTTCCGGGGTGTAAGGAGGGCTGGCTGCAGGTGCCCTCTGCCTCCCCTGCCCCTGTCCTACACCCAGCCCATACCTGCGCCCCTCCATGGCCCATGCAAACCATCAGCAAAGACAGCCGAGGCTGCGCTAAGCCCGGCCGGGGTCTCTGCAGTGCCGACGGCCGCGGAGATGCTCTATTTTCCTTGTACTCCTCGAAGTCCTGTTTGACCCGCCTCATATCCGGGTGAAGTGGGCAGGACAGGGTGAGGGTCTCTGCTGTCCTCATGAGGGGACACAGAAAAGAGGGGACATGCCCAGTGCCACAGGGAAGATTCCCAGCAGAGCCAGGGTTTGAAACTCGGGCTCCTGTGCCTGGCCTCTGGGTGCCCAAGCTTGACCTTAGTGGAGGGGGACGCAGCGGAACACAGACAGGGTTTGATGCTGAGCGCCCGGTTTCAGCCAAAGCTCTACCACTCACTTCCTGAGGCCCTGAGCAAGATTTTCTGCCATCGTGCGTGGCCCCACTTTCCTCACTGTGCCTGGGGTTATCAGCCCTTGCAGATGGGGGTGAAATGCAAATGAAAGAGCTGGCACACAGTAGGTGCACACGGATTTCAGTTCCCGGCACTTCCTGTCCACCTCCACAGGGGCCCAGGCAAAGATGAGTGGGGTGGGACCCTGGCTGGTGGTGAGGAAGGGACAGGTCGGGCCCCTCAGAGGGGAAGGGCAGGGACCAAATGTCCCAAGCGAGGCCACTCCCAGTTTATGGGATCTGGGGCAAAGACTCTTTGAAGAGGCAATAAAATTCATTTCTGCGAGGAAATGACAACAGCAGAGAGTCCTGACTTAGCAAACCAAATTCAACATTTTTTTTTTTTTTTTTCCTTTTTTACAAGGCAAGGAATTCTGGATGGGTAACAAAAATCACATTCGAATCAAATTAGCTTTCTGGAATAGCAAACGGCTTTCCCAAGAGCAGGAGATGTGCAACATGCCACCACCCCACAGAGCGTGTATATAAGCGCTCCTGAGCGGCAGGGAGACCAGAGCACCAGCCCCTTGCTCGGCGACACGCGTCCTCTCTGACGGCACCATGGCCACTCAGCTCTGCACCTCGACCTTCTCCACTGGCTCTGGCAGGGGCTTCTGTGGCACGGCAGGCGGCTTCTCCCGGGTGTCCTCCTTCCGCTCTGGGGGCTCCTGCAGGGCCCCGGGCCTGGCTGGTGCTGTGGGGTCCGGCTCCTCCTTGAGGTTGGGCCTCTGTGGCCCTGGGAGCTTCTGGCCTGGCTCCTGCCTGGCTCCCGGGGGCCCCTCTGGCTTCATGGGGAGCGGGGGCTTGTTCTGCGAGGGCTCCTTCAATGGCAGCGAGAAGGAGACCATGCAGTTCCTGAACGAGCGCCTGGCCAGCTACCTGGAGAAGGTGCGGCAGCTGGAGCGGGAGAACGCGGAGCTGGAGGGCCGCATCCGCGAGTGGTACGAGTGCCAGATCCCGTACATCTGCCCCGACTATCAGGGCTTCTTCAGGACCATGGAGGAGCTCCAGCAGAAGGTACGCGCATGGCTTCTGCCTCTCCAGGTCTGCTGTGGCGAGCCACGCCCTGCCTTGTCTACAGGGAGTGATGGATGTGCACCAGCTGCTCTGGGTCCAGCACTGAGCCTGACCCTGTCCTACCCTGCTTGCCTGGGGGCGCTGCGTGTGACTGGGCTCACTCAGCGCAGAAGGACACTGAGATTTGAGATTTGAGAGTTCTGTGAGTTGCCCAAGGTCATGCAGCCTGAGCCTTGGGTGCAGAAACCTGAACCAAGTCTGCCTCATCCTATTATGAGCCACCCTGGCAACCTCCGATGCCAGCACTGATGACCTCTGGTGTCCTTGTGATGGCCTTCCTGGGGACAATGGCCTCTGCACCCTGGGTGCAGTGTCAGGGCAGGAAACTTAGGGGCACAGCTCCTAGAGCTGTCCGCGCACGACTGGGCTGTCCCTAGTTCACTGGAAGCCTCCTGTCCCCCAGATCTTGCTGACCAAGTCTGAGAACGCCAGGCTGGTCCTGCAGATAGACAACGCCAAGCTGGCTGCAGACGACTTCCGAACCAAGTGAGTGGGGTTGGCCGAGCCGCTGCCTCGCTCCTGCGCCTTGGGAGCCAATAGGGGGACGGGGCCAGGCAGAGCCCAGGGAAGGGAGGGGCCACCACGCACCTGACCCCAAAGCAGCCCCGCAGCTGGCAGTGGCTGCTCTTGGTGCAGACTGGCAGGGCTGTGTGCGCAGGTACGAGGCGGAGCTGTCCCTGCGGCAGCTGGTGGAGGCCGACATCAACGGCCTGCGCAGGATCCTGGACGAGCTCACCCTGTGCAAGTCTGACCTGGAGGCGCAGGTGGAGTCGCTGAAGGAGGAGCTGCTCTGCCTCAAGAAGAACCATGAGGAGGTGAGGCTTGTGCCACCAGACATGGGCTCAGAGAGGTTAATCACCCTGGCTCATGGTGCACAGCCCTGGAGGGAGACGAACAGGAACTCAGGTGGGCTGAGCCTCGCACTGGGCATCCTTCTCATAATCTTATTCCCCTGGCTCTCCATTCCCCAAAGGAAGTCAACGCTCTCCGTAGTCAACTCGGGGACCGACTGAACGTGGAGGTGGATGCTGCCCCTCCGGTGGACCTCAACAAGGTCCTGGAAGACATGCGTTGCCAGTATGAGGCGCTGGTGGAGAATAACCGCAGGGATGTGGAGACCTGGTTCAACACCCAGGTAGGGCTGGAGGGGCCTGGGGCCCTCAGCTTCTGGGGTGGGCTCCCCCTAAGCAGGGGCGGTGCTTGGTCTGACTGTGCCCTGCACCTTCCTGTGTCCTCCAGACCGAGGAGCTGAACCAGCAGGTGGTGTCGAGCTCCGAGCAGCTGCAGGGCTGCCAGACGGAGATCATCGAGCTGAGACGCACGGTCAACGCGCTGGAGATCGAGCTGCAGGCGCAGCACAGCATGGTGGGTGCCGCACCTCGCGGCAGCCTAGTAACCACCCAGTCCCAGCGGGTGGGCTGTCACCGGGCCAGATTGCAAGTTGCGTGCAGATTCTCGGGATGTGGGTGTCCAGCTGGGATTTCCTCCTCATCCAGCTCCACCTCTCTCCTGTGGCAGAGGAACTCCCTGGAGTGCACCCTGGCGGAGACGGAGGCCCGCTACGGCTCCCAGCTGGCCCAGATGCAGTGCCTGATCAGCAACGTGGAGTCGCAGCTGGCCGAGATCCGCTGTGACCTGGAGCGGCAGAATCAGGAGTACCAGGTGCTGCTGGACACCAAGGCCCGGCTGGAGTCGGAGATCGCCACCTACCGCCGCCTGCTGGACAGTGAGGACTGCAAGTGAGTGGCCGTGGGTGCTGGGGGCTGCGGCTGGGCTGGACTCATGCCGCAGAGGGTGGGGTTGGCACCAAAGCTGCTGGAGATTTCCTCTGGTCCCGGGGTTTCCCTGATGCTTAGGCGGAAGGGCCAAGGCACACCCAGCCACACCCTTGAGCCATGCGCGGGTTGGTTGGGCTGTCTAGTCCTCCCTCTGGAGCCGTGTCCTCCTTCTTCCCGTGGGCTTTCACAGGCCTTGAAGCGTGCTGAGGACGTTGCCTCTCAGTACTGTACCCACCAGCCTGCCTGATCCCCGAGTTTATTCCGTGTGGACCTCAGCCCAGGGTCTCAATGCCCAGGACAACCCTGCCTGATTTCCTTTCCTCAGGCTTCCTGCCCACCCTTGCTCCACGGAGTGCAAGCCTGCCGTGCGGGGTCCCTGTATCCCCCCTCGGCCCTGGGCCCCGGTTGTGACCTGCGTGGCTGCGCCCCAGGTCAGCACCTAGACCCGCACCATCATGGAGGAGATCAGAGGCGGGAAGGTCATCTCCTCCAGGGAGCACCTGGTGCCTGGCCCCGTGTGACCCTGTCGTGGTCACCAGGAGGAGGATACCCTGAGGCTCCTGGCTGCTAACTGACCCCGCCCTTTCAACCCCCAAGAGGCCTGTGCTTAGCTGGGTTTTCTACCAAAATTCTTCCTGAGTTGTTTCTGGTCTTAACTGTGCTTTTTATGCTGTGCAAACCCAGGCTCCCCTGGACATGTCTCCAATAAAGTGTGTTCTGCTGGCAAAGCAAGCCGGACCCTGGCTGGTTCCCTCGTGGTTAGTGAGCAGGGTGTTCGCTGGGGTTGCGGTGAAGGTGTGGGGTTGGTTCCAGAATGTCTTCTCTGGCCCAGAGTGCTAGGAAGAGGAAGGATGATTCCAAATATTTAATAGTTTGCATCCTCAGGCCCTGGCCTCTCTCGCTGGGAGCTGGTGGCAGCCCCCAGCTGGGCACCCACCTTTGGGTGGCTGAAGAAAGAGGAGGAGGTGCCCTTTCTAAAGCTGGCAGTCGCCTCTCTTTTCTTCCCACATCCCTGCTACCTGACAGGGGGACAGTTTGGAAGGGGGGAAGTTCCAGGACCAACCAGAAAAGGCCAGACTCCCTGTGACCAGGCAGAGCCACCCCAGCAGGGAAGGGAGCTGGGATGATATGGGGGGTGGAGGCAGAGCCGGGGGAATTCACGTCCCCAACAAGCGGTGTCTGTCATGTTCTGTGACTCTGCTGGCCTCAACGGTTCCACCCATGAATGGGGCAACCAGGTTCCAATGGGACAGCATTGCCCCGCACATGGTGGCTGCCAGGGTTGGCATTAAATGGAAAGTCCCTGGGCTTGGGGTGGGGAGCAGGGAGCCCCCTGCTGTGCTCTGCACGTGGCAGGATGCTGGGATCCTGTCCTCGCGGTCCCTTCTCCCTGCCCTGCACCTTCTCTGTCCACCCCTGGCCTGGGGCCTCAGGCCTGCCCGTCCGTGCGGGCCCTGGGCTTGGGGAAGTGGGCGGAGGTTGGGCAGGCACGGAACCTCGCACGCCTGGGCCGGCATCAGCCAGGGCACAGACGGACCCAGCCTTCTGTCCGGGACTCTGCTGCGCGGCGCTCAGGCAGACAGACCAGGGGGCTGTGACTGTCGCTGCTCACAGGCTCCATAGTTTTCCGAGGATGCTCAGGCTCCTCTCACAGGAGCAGCGCCGCCTGGGTGTGGGCCCTTCCCCGTGTGCCTCTGCCTCCGTGTGTGTTCAACGCGGCCTCAATTCCTGTCGGCACCCGCACCAGTCCCGGGACGCCTTCTCGGTCTTTGATTCCAATTATCGGAGCGTCAGCAGAGAGGTGACGTGAAGCATCCCATCTCATGAAACCTCGCGAGCGGCCGGGTCACTTGATTTCACGGTGGTGATTTTTTTGTGTCCTTTGGATGTGACATCTTACTCCTCTACGCCTCTCACGCATGAATGGGTCAACAGGGAGGCAGTGTGCTGCATGCTTCACCTGGGGCAAAGCTAGGGGTAACTGACGCCAGGTCAGCCAGGCAGCACGGGCGGCGGGAGCAGCTGGGTCCCGGGCGACCGACAGGCCCAGTTCCTGTGAGCTCCGGTCCAGGTGTGGCGACCCCTCCCACACTCCCGGGATCGGCACCGGGCGTGGCAGAGGCTGGCCTGGGCAGGGCTCCGGGCTCTGCGGAGCAGAAGCAAGATTGAATTGAAGCATTAGGGGGCTGGGATTTGGTGGAAACCATCAAGAGAGGGCAGAAGGGCAAAGGGTGTGCTAGAGCATGGCTCGGGGGACAGCGCAGGCCCCATCTGAGCAGAGCACAAAGATCCTGGAAGAAAAGTTACTGGGGAACTTGCTGAACAGTGTTTGTGCTCCCTGATAAGGGGCTCAGATAATCATTTTGTTCTTTTAAAAAGAATGCTAAGAAAGAGCAGAATGAGACCAGGGCAACTGACCAGGGTACTCCACAGCTTTGAGAATATTACTGAAGTGTCTTTAAAATCAGATTATCTAAAGACTCTTATCAAGAATTTTTATTTTGGTACTGGGAATCAAATTAAGGACCTCGTGCTTGCCAGGCAGGCACGGTACTGCTGAGCTGTAGCCCTAGCCCTCTGATCAAGAATTCGTAGCCACACCATTAGGCTGACGGCGTGGTGTCCCGTGGAAGGTGGCTTTTGTTCCCTGCCACAGACCTGCTTGCTGGGCCAGGTGCTGCGCATGGCACCGAGATGCCCGGCTCCTCCCGGGCTCAGCACGTCAAGCTCCTATCTGCACAAGCAGCAGGAAGAAGAGAGTTTTTCTCTTCTTCCTCACTCACTTTTTCTTCCTTCCCTTCCCTTCCCTTTTCTCCTCTCCCTTTCTATTCTCAAAGCACATTCATTTCCTTGCCTAACACAATTTACCATGGGCAAACTGTTTATACTCATTCTGGGATGCCGAGGAGCCCAGCCCTGCGCAGGGCAGCACGGAGGTTTCAAAGGCAGCCTCAGGGCTGTCCCCAGGACCTCTCCCTCCTGGTGTCCCGGGAAGATAGGCTGACGGGCAAGACAGTCAGAGGATGGCAGCTAAGGGGTGGACACGGGCCGTCCACCAGTCACCGCCATGGTGCTCAGCTTTGGGAGGGCACAGTGGGCTCCAGGGCGGAGGCCTGGCTGGGACTGGGTCTCTGAGCAGTGGGATGGGCCTGGGTCTGGAGCTGGAAGGTGGGGAGGAATGCTGGGTTCTCCTGCAGGACTCTGCACCCTTCTGTCCATGTCTGGACTGCAAGGTTTTAAGGACGCAGCATACCCGGTCAGGGGTCATTCTGCCGACTCTACTGCTCACTAACCCTGTGACCTTGGCAGGCTCGTGCAACACCTCAAGCCTCAGTTTACTCATGTGTGAATTGGGTCCATTGGTGATGTTGGTTTCAAAAAGTTGAGCATTCAGAGTCAAGCACCTCTCGATGCCCTCTGGATAGTACAGGTGTGGACCCCTGCCTGGGAACCCCCGTGTCCCCTGGAGTCACAGGGCGTGGGGCTTCCCAGGCCTTCCTGCTGCAGCTTCTCTGGGTCTTACTGCTCCAGGGTGGCCCATGCAAGTGCTCAGGAGGCCCTGGCTTATCAGGGCCAAATGGACGCTGTATCCACAGGGTGGGAGATGCAGACATTGTACGGGGCTTAGCCAGGCTCTGGGCCCAGCTGTGTCCTTTGCAATGAGCCCTGGCTCTCCAGGGAGGAGGCTGAGGCAACCGTGGGACCCTCGGACTGTGCTGGGCAAGTGTTGGGCACCCAGGTCCTGGGTGTGGGAAGGGCCCGGTGACTCATGAGAGCTCTGTGTCCGAGGGCCCCCAACCCTTGCGGCTGGCCCCAGGAGCACTGAGTGGGGCGGGCGCTGCTTGAGAGTCTGAACTCACTCCTTGTGGCAACTTAGGGAGCAGGGACTGTTACTTCTTCCCACTTACCAAGGAGGAGGTGGAGAAGGAGGGAAGTGAAGTCGGCCAGTCCACGGCAGGGCTGGGATTTAAATCCACAAGTTCAGCTGTCGCCATGCTGCTGTGTCTTCCGGGACACTGGAGGGGGTGGTGCCCACCCTAGTCATGCCCTTGCTGTTCTCTGCAGCCTCCGTCAGGTCCAGCAGCCGGGACAGCTCTCCAGGCGTGGCTGGAGCACCGAGCAAGTGCTGAGCCTCCCTGAGTCCTGATTTCCTTCCGCTCATGAGGAGGAGAAGTTCAGGAGAGCAGAGCCGCACTGGGGGCAGAGGGAGATGAGGGTGAGAGGGTGCTCAGTGCCTGGTTCACCGCTGGCCCTCAGCCCATGGTCACTGTCCTTATAGGACATAACTGGTGTCACAGGGTCCCAAGTGGCAGGACCAGAGTCCCACAGGGCTCCCAGCACCTCCTGCAGGTCCCGTTTGCTTGGCGGGTGGCCCTTGGTGGTGGCCTTGGCAAACTGTCCGGTACCGCTCGGCCACCTCCTCCCCCAGCAGAGTTACAGCGGGAAGGACAGGCTCTGTGCCTATGCTCCAAAGACCGCTCCATCCCCCTAGGCATCCAGCCGAAAAGTTCTCCACGGTCCACCAGGGCTGCCAGCGAGACACGGGTCTAGGTGTCAGCATGGGGCAGCACCCAGTGAACTGGCTTCCGGTCATTTTGGCTGGAGCTAAGGCTCCACTGTCAGAACAGATTTCCTAGCTGGGGAGGGATCCATCAAGAGCCCACGTGTTGGGGTTGACCAGTTGTCTATTATGCCCAGGCTGGTGGGCTCCTTGCGGTACATTAAAACCAGCACAGTCCTGGGGAAACTGGGAGAGCGGGTCACCCTGGGCAGGTCTCCTGGGCCAGCGGGGAGCTTGCTATGTTCCCTTAGCTCACAGTGGCTGAAAGTCTCCTAACCCCCCAGTCTTCCCTCTGAGTTTGCCCATCAAAGGGGCTGAGGTTGGAGAAGGTGGATGGCAGTGGACTCCCACGCCGGCTTAACGAGGCAGCTGAGGTCCAGCCCTGATGACAGGCCCCTTTGAAGAACTGAGGAGCCTCCGTCTTCCCAGGACGCTGCGGGTGGGAGCCAGTCTCTCTGCAGCCACCTGTCCAGCGGGGCTCCCGCTTTACGAGACCGGGAAACGTTCACGGGAAGCTAACTAACAGGGTAATGAGGGGTTTTGATAGAAAGTGGAATTAACTTTAATGAGGAGAAAACACTTTGTAAGGCCTGACGACGCCCACGGAGGTGGAGGTATAAATCCCGGCCCGGCCGCTCCCGTGTCAGGGTGTGCGGTGTCAGACCTCTGCCACTTGCACCGGCGGCTGTGGCCATGGCTTCCAAGTGCCTCAAGGCCAGCTTCTCCTTGGGGTCCCTCAAGAGCCCTGGAGGGGCTGCAGGGGGCTCTAGCCGCATGGCCACCATGTGCTCCAGCAGCTCCTGCAAGCTGTCCCGTGGGCCCCGCAGCTTCTCCGTGTGCCCGGCGGGGCTGGGCAGGAGCAGCTACGGGGCCTCCAGCTGCTTCCCTGCTCCCTGCCTCCCCACCGGAAGCTTTGCTACCAGCTACAGTATGGCGGGGGGCTGGTTTGGGGAGGGCTCCCTCACGGGCAGCGAGAAGGAGACCATGCAGTCCCTGAACGACCGCCTGGCCAGCTACCTGGAGAAGGTGCGGGAGCTGGAGCGGGAGAACGCGGAGCTGGAGGGCCGCATCCGCGAGTGGTGTGAGCAGCAGGTACCCTACATGCGCCCGGACTACCAGTCCTACTTCCGCACCATCGAGGAGCTGCAGAAGAAGGTGAGGGGTGTGTGTGTGTGTGTGTGGTGGCTTTGGCTGCCTGGGAGCTTGGTGTTGCTGGAGGACCTGTGAAGACTCCAGGGCTCTGGCTGGTCAGCTGACCCCAAGGACAGTTAGGAGAGCCAGAGCCTCAGTACAGGCACTATGAAGCCGGCC